AGAGAAACTGTTTAAAAATGGTCGCTGAAGTTAAATTTTTTGAAAATATGTCACGTAATCTTTCTATTCAACTGCCAATTCCTCGTCGGCTGCAAATACTATTTTTAATAAGGGTAGATATATCATTTTTTTATCCATTCTTATAACATTTAATACGGTTTTGATCGCCCGTAGAATCAACAAATACACGACGTGTAATACATAGAAAATTATATATTTCTAAATAGACAATCTAAAGACATGTAATTTAAGAAAAATAATAGCTTTTAACTGTCTCATTTTGATAGCAGACGACATTTTGTAGATTCACGATCGTTCCGTCTTACTCCATTTTCATTTTCAAGGTCAAGGCCATTCCAAGGCCAAAGGTCATTATCTAGGTATTTGGTGATTTAAGGTCATTGGGGCTATTGTGAACCTCTGTGACCCATGATTAAGTTAACTAAGGTCAAGGTCATTCCAAGGTCAAGGGTCAGTATCTAGGTATTTAACTTTTTAATACCTAGGGGGCTGCTGTTACCCTTGGCAACTCATGATAACGTGACCTGAAGTCAAGGTCAAGGTTTATGAGTCAAGGTCATCTCAAGGTCAAAGGTCAATATTTAGGGTTTTTGGCGTTTCAAGGACCTTGAAGGGTGCTGTGGTCAATGGCGACCCATGATTAGGTGACCTGAGGTCAATGTCATTCCACTAATTTGGAAACTCTTCATGTGTTAATGCAAAGAGAAGACGTTTCCCACCTAGTGTTGATCTGTACATGAGCAAAGTCGACGGGTAAATCATTGTGATAACTTTTCTTAAACATAAAATATATTTAACATTGTACCATCTTTAATTTACATGGGTAGCAAGTGCTATTTGGAAAATCGTTCCATATTTGTTATGTTATAAAAACACTGTCACGTGTGCTACTGAACTTAAAATAAAAGTATATGAAAAAACATCAAATCGGAGCATTTTATTTAGATTTCCTTCAGATAATATCAACCATTCCGTCTTACCCCACCTGTTCCGTCTTTGCCACGCCTGGTAAAGTTGACCCTGTAGACACGGGAGATGGTTTTGATATGAAATAGTCTGTATAGATAATATAAATTAATTTTAAAATCATTTTCGGTAGCTCTGCATTGTAAAATATTATAAATATTTTCAAGGAAACCCATGTTTAATGAACAATAGCCTATCAAAGATAGGTGTAGATTTTCGTTCCGTCTTACTCCACTCTCAACTACATGCCATACATCTACAAAGGAGCAAACTAGTGTTTTAGGTACTACTTTTCCTGATATTTAAATCAGATATTTATAGCAAAATTCAAAGATTAGCACGCGTTAGCGTGAACTTATCGCAGTGGACAGTAATATCCTGGATGAAAATCTGGGTCGTGAGAATCTCGGTCAGAATCCGTAGCCCACAGTGACGTCATTTTTTACTTTGTATCCCACGGTAAGTGGACGATGCGTGTAAATTCCAAATTTATTTAAGTCAAATGGACAAATCAGATTGCAGGGAACTTCTCCATCATTAAATAAACATTCGTGCTGCATAAAACGATACACAATACTTGTTGATTTGAAAACATTCAATCGATAGAACAAATGCCGCTTGCGAAAGTTAGAGCGCATGGTTTCAGAAATTTCTTAACCCCGAGAGTGATTTTTAAACCCGGCAGAATCTATCTTTATTTTTAATCGTCCACAATACATATGATTGGTCTGTTTTTATATAACACACTTATGTTGACCTGTCAAGACATTCTTGGCAATATGAGTCATTATATACAATAGAATAATAAAATTGCCCTTTGATTCATAATCTTCGACGTTTTTTCTCAAAATCTGGACGGTGAATTTTCATAAATAATTTTTAAATACTTTTTGTGTCCCATAGAATGATGTTTTTTAAAGAGAATTTGAGTTGTAAATTGTTTTATCTTTAAAATGCATTTCCTCATTGAAACCAATGTTAAATTCAAATATATTCTAGAAGTAACCAAACGGTCAATCCAATGTTCACATATTTTGTTATACATCGTAGAAAAAAGTTAATCGACAGTGAAGTTGTACCTTAACTTACCAACATCGCATTTCGTACCCCCATATCGAGGAGCGCACGTACAATTGTAACCATTGACTCCATCAACACAGCTTCCGCCATTTTGGCATGGATTACTAGAACACTCGTCTATATCTGAAAAATCATGAAATAAGAGCATTTTTTCAGAATATATGGATCGCCCCTTGTATAATTCTGTTCGTGAAAAACAAGCATTACTTGATGAGATTCTCAGACCTTACCTGATTGTTTTTATATTAGATTAATAGTAAATCTGACACAGTAATTGTTAGTATGAGCCTTTGAGACCGTGACGGTAATTTAAAGTTGTTGGTGAGACTCCTCCTGTTTTAGCTATTCATTTTACTGAACTTACCAATATCACATTCCACACCCTCGTATCCAGGAACACAGGCACATTGGTAACCATTGAATTGATCCATACAACTTCCACTATTTTGGCATGGATTACTGGAGCACTCGTCTATTTCTGTAAGTACACGAGAACGCTTACTACCATACCCAGCAATTTAGCGTAATAGTATAGTTTCCATATAGCTTTTGAAATCTTGCTAAATCTCGTTTTTCGTGAGATTTTAAGAGACTTGCATATTAGACCTCTAATGACTTACATAACCTTCTTTTAAATGGCATATTTGAATTCAGTGAAATGTTTTCTCCTACAATAGCTTTGATTTACACAGTAATGTAATTTGAATAATTTTCTATAACAATTTAAAAAAACTTGGGCCAAATGTGGGCCAAATGTCCATAGATGCAATGCTAAAATTCTTTAAATCCGTGGATTATTTGTATGTCAATCAACATTTGCATGTTTAATCACAACATGTACATAAACAGGGTCATCATGTGGTATATCATTCAAGTTTTATACTGATTCAACAAACACACTTTGATAAATCATGAAATTAAGCCACTTTTCCAAGATTTTAGCATGTAAATGAATGGAGCTCTAGCCAAAGTAAAAAGCTTAAAAAAAGATAACAGCTCGAGATTTCATTAATTTTTCTGCTATTTAGAAACTATCCTATTAGTGAAAATGCTCATATTTTAGCCATTCATTTTACTGAACTTACCAATATCACATTTCGCACCCTCATATCCAGGAACACAGGCACATTGGTAACCATTGAATCGATCCATACAACTTCCACCATTTTGGCATGGATTACTAAAGCACTCGTCTATATCTGTAAGTGCACGAGAACGCTAAGTACCAGACGCAGCAATTTAGCGTAATTAGTGAAAATGCTCATATTTTAGCCATTCATTTTACTGAACTTACCAACATCACATTTCGCACCCTCATATCCAGGAACACAGGCACATTGGTAACCATTGAATCGGTCCATACAACTTCCACCATTTTGGCATGGATTACTAGAACACTCGTCTATATCTGTAAGTGCACGAGAACGCTAACTACCAGACGCAGCAATTTAGCGTAATTAGTGAGAATGCTCATATTGTACATATTTTAGCCTTTCATTTTACTGAACTTACCAATATCACATTTCGCACCCTCATATCCAGAAACACAGGCACATTGGTAACCATTGAATCGGTCCATACAACTTCCACCATTTTGGCATGGATTACTAGAGCACTCGTCTATCTCTGTAAATACATAGTCGATGTTAACATAGATTCTGAGACTAGCTTGACGACGCCATCGGGAGCCAAAATGTTCAGTTTAACTTATTAACTTAACAGCAAAGTGATAAGACTCTCACCTAATATTTTGAGGGTGTCCATGATGTCAGATTTCCATGAAACGATATTTTCTGTCAAGTTAGTTAGTTTTCGATTAATTGTAGAAAGGGTTTTGCCTACAAATAGATTAAAACAAATACCGTTAATCATTAAGTGAAAACCTTAACCCATGTACTCGAAGCTCGTGATCGTTTTGGTTTTCACAAAACCATTGAGTTAAGTAATTCGGTGGGGAATATTAATCCTTTGAATTTCCAACTATGAAAATGTATTCAAAGTCTTCATGTGAATCAACTATAGAAATAATGTTATTGAATTAAATACAAAGCCTACAGGCCCGTAGCCAGAAAGGGGGGGGGATTCAGAAGGTTCGAGCAACAACCCCCTCCCCCGGCCAAACATTCAAAACCACGCAGTTTTTCACAATTCCGGGCACTTTTCAAGTGATTTTAGTCAAAAAAAGTGACCCCCCTGGCAATCCTGGATACGGGCCTGAACTATTCAAAATCTGGAGCATTACCTTGAAAAACGCCTCCACTGGTGAGTCCAATGATAATACATTGAACCATCAGGAGAACGATAACTCCACCTGCTACGAAGGTCTTCCACTTGCATTTCAAGAGAAATGATTTCTCATTTTGCCGTTTTGGTAGATTCTCATAGGTAGGATTATTGTTAATTTCCTCTTGATTCCGCTCATCCAAAGTTGCATACACATCCATGTTGAAATCACCAGGTTCAGTGTCACTAGCATTTTGCTTAGAACGGGCTTCCAAGTTGATGTTAGTGATGTCATCAGTGTTAGGGGCTAACGGAAGAGGTGTGTTCGGATTTTTAGACATTTTCGTGCTGGACTGTCAGGAAATATCTACTATTAGACAACAAAAATTGTTGGCACAAGTGCAAAATTTACAAGTCACTCTATGCAAGAAAAACAGTTTAGTCAGTGACATATTGTCATGAAACAATACTCCAATGCCCCTCTACCGTTAGGACCTATTATCATAATCCAAAGTATACGAGATCACTGAACAATTTCTTTAGGACAGACAAAAACAATACAGTCTCGAAAATGGATTATACAAATGTACAATACATTTTTGCAGCGAACTTGAAACAACTTACGTTTAGATGAGATTCAAAAAGAATACGAGTATAGCAAATAAGAAATGCAATTAAGAATTCAATAAAAAAAAAATTTAATATCTCACCCTGTTCAATCGAAAATGATTATCAGTCCGCCACTTGTGAATCGTCTAGTAGAAAAACGCCTATATGTGCTCAATTCCTCTTTTGTAAGCACAACTTCTCCACATAACAAAAAAGAATATTTTTCATGCAATATGAAAAGATTGAATTGAATGCTTTCAGATAAAGTGTTGTTCGATAAAGAACTATTCACTGATGCTATTCGCTCTACGAATCATATTGCACCTTTTTAAACTTCCTCGTTTATCGCTATTTATATTTTTTTAAATGCACATAGTGATAACGCAAAAGGTTTCATTTGGCAGACAATGTGCTTTGACTTGAACAATAATGACTATTTCAATGCATTAAGAATGTTCATAGAGTCCTGGAGTCGGATAAACTTTGCTTTTGAGCACATTCCATGGGTCATTTCATTCAAATCGATAGTTTATAAAATTCACATAATTACACATAGATATACATTTCTGAACTATTGCCTATTGCAATTTACATTGACATTCCAAATCATTATATACCATTATATCTATTTGGTGAAATATGCTGATCCTTACTATATGAAATATTGGTTCATCCTTTCAGAAGTACTCGAAGGCAAAAACCGCTTTTACAAACTGGCTTCTTACGTACTACAGAAGCCGGCTTCTACAGTCAACAAGAAGCCGGCTTTTAAAAACCGGCTTCTGAAGGACAACAACTTGGAGCCAGTTTAGAAAAAAATGAGCGGTGCGTTTTTATTTAACGGAAATACAATGCATAATCTGTTCTGATTTAGTGAACGTAATCTAATTCATCGATATTTTTACTTAAAAATAAATTTTCTCTCATAGTTTTGGCTTGAAATGACTTTTTGCAAAAAATCTTGAAATAAGTTACAATTTTACGTATTTTTCAGTTTTTTCTCATTTTCATGCAAATTATACGAGAATAAGATGCATAATGCACATAGAAATGATCGTGAGACAGTATCCCGTGATTTCCAGTTGCTAGATTGTCCCTACATAGCTTGTGTAAGATGGAGCGAGCTGATTTGTAAACTGGCTCCAAGGGACTAAGGGACGGTTTATACTACGTTGCACACCGACGTGGTGCGACCTGAACGAACTGCGAATGAGATGGACGTATTGAAGACTGTTTATAAACGAAGTAGCTAATTATTTTAGACATATATCCCGACCGCAGCCAGATCGAGCCCGTTTTACGACATTTTCGTAGGACTGGCAAGAACGGGTAAGAACTAGTTTGGTGTGATAGGGGGGTAACGGACTCTACCTAGGTACGTCTGGACATTAATGTTTGTCACCTTCTAAAGGTTTTTTGTTTTTAAAGTTGGTTTCCATGTGCTATACAAAAAATAATCGAAATAAATTAATATTGGATGGAGGGGGGGGGGATTTATATGTCTTTACGATGGAACAAATTCACAAGAACTCTTGTATTTGAAAAAACTAAACTCAGTATCCCAGTAAGAAACTGGATATTATATTTCTGGAGAATGAAAAATGGGAAAAGTTGTAGTCATAAGAATAAATTCAAGTAGCATGTCTTGTCATGTCTTATATACACGTGATCCCCCCTCCATCCGATCCCTCCATTATTTATTTTGATTATTTTTTGTATAACGCATGGAAACTAACTTTAAAAAGTTAGCAATGTCATTAGTATTGTGATAATAACGTCCCTTATACCTATATATTACAGGTCGTGTAGACCATTGTTGCCCGATTTATAGCAAAAACATTGACTTTTGCACGTTGGTGATGATGCGCATTTTCTAATAGATCTCATATCTTAGAAGGATATCAGTTCAAAAAAATACTAGATGACCTAACATATTTTGCCATACACTGCGCCTATTCATTTGGCAATTCAGTTGTAAAGGATAGGTATCGATATTGAGAACTGAATTCAACAATGTTTTTCTCTTAAACCAATCATTGAAAACATTCTGTAAAAAACATGGTATTTTATGTAATGTTGACTGACTGACAACAATTTAATGCGAAAATTATTTAGAAATATTTTATATAACTGTTTTTGTTAACATTTTTTGTTTTTTTTAGTGCAATTGTTTTTGCTTCTTTCTACCGATTCTTGAGAATGAAATAAAATGTCTTTCCGAACCTCGTTGGAACAAAATAGCATATACAACATGTTTTTAGACCTCTCAATATTAAAGTTATACAAAGGAATTTTTGGTTGATTTTAAAAAAGTATTCAGAAAATTAAAACAAAATCCCCCCAAAATAGATAAAAATCAAGAAAAACCTTTTATTTCATTAACAAGATACTTTTTTAAAATCAACTAAAATTTCCTTTGTACAATTACAATATTGAGAGACCCAAACATGTTGTGTTTATGTCGTTTTGTTCCAATGAGGTTCGGAAAGATGTTTCATTTCACTCTGGAAACATGATACCAAGAACAAAACAAGTGTTTGATGTGTTTTTTAAAACAATATAGATGACAGTATGTGTACCTATTTCAAATTATATTGTTACCATTCAAAAGATGGCCATTAAATTGACAATTTGTAAGATTTTCAGAATTTTTTGATGACTGGTTTAAGAGAAACGTGTGTTCAAAAAGTTCGCCATATCGATACCCATTCTTTTCTCTTAAAAAAATAAATCTTCCTTTGTTGAGTTTTCTTGCAGAAATCGCCTAATCCCCCCCCCTCCATCCATCTTGTACGATCACCGGGCGTGACAATAGGTGCATTACTTTATTGTATAGAGTCTTAACAGCGTTTTGATCCCCAGCTGTGAGAAGGTCCTTCTTACATTTTGGGACCCAAATGCCGCAGAAAGCAAGGACTCTGTATTTCAGAATGTACCAACAGAAAGGCAAAAATTGGGCCCTTGGTTTGCATTCTGGGCCCTAAACAAATGAAAATAGGCCCCTATAATTTTCATTCCGGGCCCTAAATGAATATTTGGTTGTTAATAAGTTTATTCAATGCCCAAAATTCATGAAACGTTAAAAGGTGGGCCTTCAATTTTGTGATTTAGGCCCAAATTAAGAAAATAAGGGACCAAAGATGTTTGGCCCATAATTTTTGGGTCCATATTTTGAAAATTTGGGCCCTAACATTTGACAATTTGTTTTTATTTTTGCCCCCCCCCCCCCTGTTGATTCCTGAATCCGCCACTGTCACAGTGACGCAATAAGGATCAGTTTTAGCTCAAATAAGTTGAAATAACATGTAGGTTTTTGGCTGATATAAAGATGGCAGCAGCGGTAGAATCCTATTAACCTTCTCCTTATTTTAAAAAAAATCCAGTACCGCCCTTTAGCCCTATGCATGACTTTGTGCAAGGATTTTTATGGTCGAACCCTTTACCGCGACCAAAGTTTCAGGTTTATTAAGATTATCCGCATCGAGTGTTTATACATATCTGATAATGTAAGTTTTACTATTTTTAAATCCGACACTGCCACTAAAGTATATGACTTTCAATTCAAGGTACAAAAATGATATATATATAATATTATATCAATAGTATAGATCACCGATGCAGAATGAAGGCTGTAAACGTTGTTAAACAAGGCAATTTCAAAATTTAATTCTAGAATGAAATACCCCGGATGAAATAACGTCTGCATGAGCGTATGGTGTATTGGTCTGAAAGTGAGAAATGCTGGTTGCTAATTGTGAGTGTGCGGTCCGTTACTCTAAGTTCCATGTGCAACTGCAAATTGACAGTACAAACACCCGAGTCTATAGTTATTCCTATAATTGAAAGCACCGGTCGCACATGGTACGAAAATAAAATTACTTTAGTTAATGTGAAAAACACATATTTCTACTTTTCAAAATTTTAAATCAATTAACATTTTGAAGAGAATAACAGGTTCCCGCAAACTTTAGACCAATCAGATATCCGGATTAAAATGACGTATTTCCGGCATCTCCATTAGTTGTGAACTTTTACTACGAACACCATGAGAATTTCATCGTGTCAAACAACTTGAATTTCGACTAGAATCTATGACTTTTTTCACAAGAAACTTCAGAGATAGTTCGGATAATGTATTCCCATTGGATTTTAGCAGTTTTGGTGATGGCATCTGTTGTCGTAGAGGCAATAGCCGATCCTCAAGACTTTGACCAAGATATGGACCAAGGTAGGAATTTTTGCATTTTTCAAATGTTTTCAACTTTTCAAATTAATGATTAATATAATTGAAGTAGCATGGAATGTTTAGATCGTGTATGTTTTAGGGTGCAGTTTTAAATCAGCAGACAAAATCGAGACCACTGTTACAAAATTTATGTAAACAAACAAGTGGTCGAAATGCCATTTTAGATGCCATTCTAATCCAAATCCAATGACTTGAATTAACCTAAAATAAACCAATTCACATATTAAATAGGATTTTGGGAATGATCCAAGAATCATTTTGAGGTATAAAACTCTATGTAATGGGATTGTGGTTTCGGTTAGGGGTTTCAAAGTTATAGTTTTGACAAATTTTACAATTCAGGAATAACATCGTAAATGTCAATGTATATAATACCAGTAAAAAATTGTGATCATATAATGCCCCTATAATGTAGGGATTGAATCAGCTGAATTGAATAAGGGATAGGGGGTAAAACCAACCCCATTGAAATAGCTTATACATATCAGGCCCATAGCCAGGAATCACCATGGGGCATAAATGGGTTCACTTTTGACAACTTTGGCCCAAAAATGGCAAAACACCTCCTGACGAAAATTCTTCCAAAATCATTGATTTTTGCACTATTTTGAGCACTTTTCAAGTGATATCTGGCCAAATTTGAACCCCCAGGATTTTTTAAAAATGAAGTCTTTTTTTTGGCAAAACCTGGATACAGGTTGGTATATGACGTATGCACATAACGAAGAACAATTTTACATGTCACCCTTATGTCTATGGGAATCAAGACTAGCATAGTATGCAGCTGACTCTCTATAGTAAAGGCTCTGGATAAAGAGTATCATCAGTATGGTATTTATCTCAATATAAATTGTATACCTGTTTACATGGTTATCATGATTTTCACCTGGTCTAAGGAGTGGTAGATTTCATATTGAGGCTACCAATGTTTAAAGGGAGATTAGTCACCTTTACAAATATCAATAAAAGATGACAATTATAGCCAGAGTGTCACTTTAACCTGTTTCCCCTCAAAATATACTGAGACTTTCTATGAATTAATGATTAGGTGTCATATTGGTGGTTTAATAGAATATACCGTATACAAGCAGATCACTGTTACTCTAAAAGTTTTAAT